CCGCGTCGCGGTAGCCGCCGATGCCCTCGTCCACCGCCACCAGGCGCAGCGCGATGTCCAGGCGCGGCGCCAGCTCGCGCAGCACGTGCGCCAGCACCGTGGAGTCCTTGCCGCCCGACGCGCCCACGGCCACCACCGCGCCCGGCGGCAGCAGGCGGCCGCCGCCACCGCCCAGAGCAGACCGCTGTTCCTCCTGCCGCGGGCTGGCTCCTTCAAGTTTCAGCTTTCGGCTGACTTTTCTTGGGCTCTACCTTGTTCATTTTTTGCATTCACCCAACAGCCACTCGGTCGAATTATCCTGCACACCCAGGCGGAAGGTCAAGACAGGACTGGGTCCAGATGAGACAGTTCCAGATCGAGTTCAGAGCACTGCTAAGGGCCTGGGGGCCGGCCTGGCTGTGCTCACTTGGCTGGGAAGTGTGAAGGGCCAGGGTGGGGGCGCCCAGGTTGGCAGGATGAAGTGCTGGATGCAACTGAATGGGGACCACGGGCAGTTTTTAGCTAGGAGGGAAAGGATCTGCTTTCCAGTTCAACAGGACCCCTCGGGTGCATCGGGCCCCCTCCCCAGCACCCACTCCCGTTCACTAAGGGGGCAGGCCAGGAAGTGGAGGGACGTCCGGTTCTGGACTCTTAGGCAGTGCCAGCTGAGATTACAGCACGCGCTTATGGGAGGGGTGGGGGTACGGCGATGGGGCACCCCTCTCTGCCACCCAGGCTGTCACTCACTCCCAGGTGTTGGCTTAAGCACTTGAAAGGCAAGGACACTGGGCCGACTTGGGAGGAGGCGGTGCACCGGGGGTTGGGGGGACATTGTGAGGCAGGTTTAGGACGGAGAAGCCGGAATTTCATCTGGAGCTGGCAGCCCTGGGGTCCTTTGCTCGGGAAGTCGTTCCTGACCCCTGGTCTGGCTCTGGCGCCGCCGCTGGGCCTCCAGCGCCACCCGAACAGCCCTGGCTCTAGGTGAAGACCAGAGGACGCTGGTGCGCGCTCGGGTTGGGGTTGGGCGGCGGGCCACGGAGTCCAAAGCAGGTCAGTTGGGACGCCAGCTGCTGGACACTCCCCGCAGGGGATGGGAGGGTCACCAGAGTCAGGAGTTGGAGGATCGCGGGGAGGCGTGCTACCTCCCCAGGGATGTCCCCCGGAATCCGTGGAAGAGAAAAACGGAGACCCTCAAGTCCCACCAGGCAGCGCGGAGGACGGAGGCCAGCTGCCCAGCTGCCGGAGGAAGCACTCACCTGGGCAGCACCTGAGCGGGGAGGTCAGGCTCCCGGAAAAACGCGGAAACGGGTAGGACCACGACCCCCAGAAGGCTTTGGGGCTACTCGCCTACCACTCCCAGAGGCCTGTGCGGCGCTTCGGCTCAAGGAGTTTACGGCTCTGGGGCGAGCCGGGCCTACAACTCCCGGCGGCCCTCGCGGGGACGCCCTCTGCCCCGCCCACGGCCTCCACGGGGCGCTGTGCGGGTGCCACGGTTTTCCGTCTGCGCCTGCGCCTGCGCCGGGGCGGGGTCTGGAGCAGTCAGTGCGCGAGGGCAGCGATTTCGCCCCAGGTTAGGTTTTCCGCGCGTGTGGGGAGACCGCGGAGTTCGTGGTGCGGGGGAGAGACGTCGGGGTCGGGGGAGAAAGGGGAGCGAAGGGGGGGCGGGGCGTG